GCTAATACATTATTGAACCAAGCCTAACGTGACATGGCTAAGAGGTTAGTCTGTTTCCCACCACCAAAACCCTATAAAAATGGCACCCCTAACTCCTGCCCTTTGAGCACTTCTCTAATTGCTAAGGGGCCATGCTGCCAAGTGCTCCCAATTCCGTCTTTGGTTACCTAAGTGACTCCTTGTGCCTCTCTGCCCCCCCATTCTCTTCCTCACCACTGTCTACTTCCTTCCACAACCTCATCCTGTCTACCCATGCCATCTGTCTCTGTACTTACTTTGCTGTTTGCCTCTGCACTCTATGCCTTATTAAAGTGTGATCAAAGCATAAACCCGCTTACTGCCAGCATGTTCTTTCCCAGTGAGTATCTAAATTTCAAGCATACTTACAGGCAAAGGGACCCCTTCATGGTTCCTCTTTCCTTATAAATTGGGAGCACTAGGACGGAGACTAAACTCTGCTTTCAGCCACCCTTACCATGAACAGGCATGGCACAGTGAATTCATTGGTAGAAAGTAAGAGCGGGCAGAGAACCTCATGTCCTCTCCCAGAAGAATTCTCCCTTTATATAGGTCATAAATCAATTAATAATTTCATAAATTAATGAGTATTTCATCATGGTAATCAGGAAACCTGTGGAAATATTATGCAATGTTAATTATAATAAATACACATATAAACTGTAAATACTCAGTTATGTGTGTATACATCACTAAGTCTTATGTATTGCCGAGGTTTTCATTATTTGTAAGCTTAATTGGAACCCATAGTGCCATAAGGTTGCTCAAAATAATGTTGCTTTTACTCTGAAAATAGAATATTTAGCTTTTGGCAACTATGGTCACTATGTCTTTTTTTTTTAGGGGGAGGGGAGAAGGCAAATGGGGTTAAATGACTTGCCCAGGGTCACATAGCTAGTAACTATCTGAGGTTGGATTTGAACTCAGCTCCTTCTGACCCCAGGACTGAGGCTCTATCCATTGCACCACCTAGTTGCCCTTATGGTCATCGTGTCTTTAAACATTGAAGGGGCCAGTAGAGAAAATTGGTTTGTCCCATGTTGCTACAATAAGTCAAACTAGGACCAGCTGGTGGAAGTACAGGGACATTTGGATTGGAGTGTGGAGGAAATGTGTTTAGAGCTAGAGGACCTGAGCTTACTACCTGGATAATCCTAGGCAATTTACTTTTCAGCTCTTGGCTTCAGTCTCCTCCTCTGGTACATGAAGGGCTTCCAGCTCTGAATCTTTCTGACTATGAGGTTACAAACTGGTATATCTGTGGCTTCATAGGAGGGAGACTTTCTAAACATTGAAATTAATTTCAGTGAATATCTACTACATTCAAAATATGTGGGAAGGCTTTGAATCAATCAGTCAGTCAGTATTTGTGAGGTGTTTATTATGTGACTTCACTGTGCTGGGCTCTGGAAATACAAAAGCAAAAGTGAGCATGCTCTCAAGGGACTTACATTCTATTGTTGGAGATTGTCTATTTGTCTGTCTAGCTACACACATAAACACACAAATATGTATATTCACATATATGAAAATTAACTGCAGGGTACTTTGGTGGACCTGGAGGTTTAGGAAACGTCTTGTGCAGACCTGCTGCCCTTTGGCTGGGTTTGTGCATGATATGATGTCTCATTGAAATCTTACTCTTTCTACTAGATCCCCTTTCACTCCTCCTCCTCCAAACATAGAGGCTGCCTCAATTCAGTAATAACCTATATTACCTAGCAAACAAAGGCTCTTTCTCTGCAAAGTGAGAGGTGAAATATCAGATTATATAAATATATGCATTTCAAAAAACCTGTGTGGTAACTAAAGAGCAGAGATATGCCTTGGTTTGGAAAAGAATGAAAAAAAAAAAGTCAGAGTCTGTGGAATCTGACTGTTGGCTATAAGCAGCATTTTGTTTACTCATCCCCTCTTTCTGAGATGGACAAGCTCACAAACAGGCTTCAAAGCTTCAAATTAAAAGCGTCTCAGATTACGCTGATCAGTTGTCCAATTTAGGTAGCAATCATTTTCACGACCATTACTTAATTTTCTTCACTACTTCTACCTCCAGTCTGGATAATCTGATGCATTTAAGAGGGGGAAAATTCTTCTTTGTAATCATCTTAAATTATCATGCCCAAGATAAGTATTTTTCACCCCCTTCTTCTTTTCCCCTCTTCTCTTTTTGGCCCAGACTTTTTAATATTTACTTCCGAGGCTGTTGCTTATTATATGGTGTTTTCATTATTGGCAGAGTAGTATTTCTATTCTGACTTAAGGCATTTTCCCCAAAGTTCAATACATGTTTCATCCATTTTTCTATACCAAGTCATTATGTAGCACGTATTTCCAACAACAATAAAATAGTATTGTCTTGTGTCCCACAGCATATCCCTATTTAGTTTTTCCTTTGGTCAGTTGTATTTCAGTAGCAAGAACAATGGCTTCATGTCTCTTTAAGTACAGGGTGGCTTCTGCTTAGATTTCTCATTAACTCCCTCCCCACCCCCAACTTTGGAGCTTAAATTTTCAATCTAATTGGGTTACAACCCCCTGAATAGTTTAGCTGTTCAGAATTGTAAGTACCTCTGAGATTACCAAAGGGAAAAGATTTATCAACTTAATTGCTTTTGGAGAGGTACCCTCTTCCCCGCATAGTTACTGTAGTTGGCATCTTGTTTATCCATAATCAATAGGCAGACTTATCAGCCTAATTCAGTCAAACTCCCCAGGAGGAAAACAAAAACAAAGAGTCCAGTAACCATTTTGGAAGGCGAGCTCTTTCTCCTTTCACAGTGGAGGACTTTAAAACTTTCTGGACTCTGTCAGTCCAGCTCATCACACAGCCCAGAGAATTAATTAAAACCCTTGAGGCAGGAACCTGAGAATTGTTCAATTTTAGATAAATTTGTGGAACCCCAGGCAGCTTTTTGCCCTCTTAATGTTTTGGGTAAGAGTTATTGGGGCAGCTGAGTACAAAATGTTTCCTCTAAACTTTTTTTTTCTTCTGATATCTATTTTCTGGTTGAAACTTGTCAACAACAAAATGGTGATGATTTTCTTATAGTTGTTAAAATTGTTCCTAGTCAGTGAGTTTCTCTTAAAGCAGATCACAACTCAATGGGGATTCTTGGAAGGCTATTAGTGATGGGGAGTCCAGCTCATTCTCAGAGCATGCTGACATCATTGCATTTAAACAAATCACTTTTTGTAGGAAATGATGAATGGATGATGCTTTTCAACTTTCAGAATTAGTATTTGTAGGCATCAAGATTGCAGTTAAGATTTCTCATGTTTCAGAACTGACCGATACTGATAAATAACCAGTAACAAAATTTTGAGGAATATAATCTGAAAATGTCACATAGCTTTGCAGGCAGTGGTCTTTTTCTCTATCCAAAAAGGCCAGGGGAAGCAAAAAACAATATTCTCTTATTTGTATGTAGAAAGATGGGAGAGGAATTCTTTTGAGAAAGCTTTCAAATCCAGATATAAGTCACTTTCTCAATCATCTGTACTAATAGGAAACAAGAGCAGTACGAACAGCTAAAAATTGCCCCTAAATTTCATTAACGCTACTAATTTGAACCTGTTTTCTGACCACACCTTTTTTGTTAAAGCCACTGTCAAGATTTCAGTATTTGTTACTAGTAGAAAGAGGGTGAGTTTTGGGAGTCAGAGCACCCGAACTTGAAACATTGCTCTGCCACTTACCAAGTCATTCTTGGAGTCTCAGTTTGTCATCTGTAACATAATGGGGTTAGAACAGATGCTAGATTTCCTGTCCTAAGCCATACAGTAGTGGATCTACTTATGGAGACCCACTGGATTTCAGATCAGTTCTAGGGGAAAATCCCATCTCTGTCACTGCCCCCCAAGACAAAATGGGGTATGTCACTTTCCAGTGGTCACACAGTAAGTTTTTGAGACAGAATTAGAACATAGATCTTCCAGACAAAGTTGTTTTCAATGTGAATATTGAATTCCGCCCTGAGAACAGCAGAGGATCATAGCTTAGAGCTCTAAGGGGCCTTGGTAGTCGGTGAATCCAATGTCCTTATTTGTCATATGAGGAAACTATGGTCAGGAAAGGTTGTTATTTGATGACTGTTACCTGGGTTGTAAGTGGCAAAGTCAGTGGTCCAACCTAGGCCCTCTGACTAAAAATGCAGCATTCTCCCTTGATAGTGAGGAGGTTGTGAGAATGACTAGGAGGTAAGTCTCAATAATTGGAACAAAGACGGAAATAGGGTAATATATGACAGAGATATGTTTTATACAGGCATACTGTGTTTCAGAATTGAACTTTTCTAAGTGTAATTTTGTTTTATGATTTCTAGAGGAGCCACTATTTAAAGGATCCTTTGTAATTACCGAAAAAAGAAAAAAAAAAGAGTTGTGGGTCTTGATTGAAAAACAACAAGAAGAACATTGGAATAGTTACAAGTAATCCTAAGTCTCACCTCTGTCATTAGCTTGGTATGAGTTTTAGTGCAAATCATGTTCTTTCTCTACTCTTCTGTTTCCTAACTATACAGTAAGGGGATTGGGTGCAACTCAATTTTACTCAGCTAGGTAAACATTTATTAATTTAGGTGATCCCTAAGGCCCCTTATATCCCAAAATGATAATTATAATTGCTAACATTTATATAGCACTTAGATACTATGTGCTTTACATTTAATGTCTCATTTGATCCTCACAACAACTCTGGGAGTAGGTGCTATTATTATCCCCATTTTATAGAGTAGGAAACTGAGGCAAACAGAGATTAAGTGACTTAGTCGGGGGTCACACAGCTAGGAAGTGTCTGAGGCCAAATGTGAACTCAGGTCTTCCTGACTACAGGTTGAGTGCTACCTAGCACTGGGCTAGCTTCTAGATACCAGTTTTTCTTCAAACGAGATAAACTTGAATTCAAGGTACTATAATTAAAATGATTGCTTTGAAGGATCTGTGGTAACATGCAGCACTGCTCTTGCTGTGTTTTCTTGCAGGGGTCATCTATACCGCTGACATTCTTGATAGAGAAACCACTGGGTCATACTGGCTGACCGTCTATGCCACTGATCGAGGCGTTGTCCCACTCTATTCTACTATCGAGGTCTACATTGAGATTGAAGATGTAAATGACAATGCTCCTTTGACCTCAGAGCCCATTTACTATCCTATGGTCATGGAAAACTCTCCTAAGGATGTATCTGTCATTCAGATCCAGGCTGAGGATCCAGATTCCAGTTCTAATGAAAAGTTAACCTACAGGATTACAAGTGGGAATCCTCAGAACTTCTTTGTAATAAACATCAAAACAGGTAAGGCAACAACTTTCTGTCCCCATTTGGTGATCAGTAGAGCAGTGAAATCCATCCACCTGACACTTGTTATTTAGATTTATTTCTATTAATTGTCTGGTTATCACCATGTTCTTTTTCCTGAGGCAATGTTTGGAAAAGGAGACCTATCTTTTTGTCTTTTAAGTTGATCTTAATTTCAGTAGACAAAGTCCAATGAACCAATGGAATGGAGATCAGTCTTTTTAATTTAAAGCTCAGAGGTCATGTCAGAATCACCTTGGTTAATAACAGCCAAAGTTTAGAAAACCTACTGCTTACTTCATTAGCTCTTTTAATCAGAAGTGGGACTTCATCCTTAAAGTCTACAGGCAAGATTGCCCGGTCACTCCTTTCTGAACCAGATTCTCGAATGCTTAACTCTAATCGGGACTGTCCTTTCCACTGAATCTGGATGGCTCAGTGTGTGTGTGTGTGTGTGTGTGTGTGTGTGTGTGTGTGTGTGT